ATAACGTAGAGATTTTATTGGAGTGCTATTAATGTGTAGTTCCTCTATAAGATTTTCCAAATATTTAGAATAACCTCCATTCCATTATATATATTTCTCTATTCATATTTACTATTATTAAATGTGTATTATAATTACGTAAATTTATAAATATATGAACATTTATTATAATTATAGTATATAAATAAATGGACTAAGTACTGATTGTATTTTTATTTTTAGGCAGTTGTGAATTTCATGAATAAAAAAAAGTAATTATTTGCATAATATTTACCATATTATGTTATGGAAATTATTTGTTTAGGAATTCTTCAAGAATCTTTTACCTTGACGTGATGATTAAAATACTTGATTACGATATTCACATTGAAATTACTTAATAATACTTGTCGGTGTGATGGAATTCAGTAAACTTCAATTTAATAATTAATAAAGTAAGTGTAAAAAACTGAATTATTTTTAATAATCTGATGTTGGAATATAATAAAAATTATTAAATTAAATTAAACTTTAAATTTCTAACTTTTGTGTTGAAAAATTAGTCCATTGTTTATATAAACTTTTTTTATAGCTCTTGAGGTCGGTTATCATCACTTTAAATATTTCCCTGTACTTACGGAACATCCTGTTTATCCCCACATATATTATTATAGTAAGGCTCGAAATCGGTTTTGTACCAAATATAAGCTCCTGTCATGCTCAAATACCATGAATGGGGTACCGTTGGATTCAGAATTTCACGGGTGGTTAGCGAATCGTATTCTCCACTTTTGTTTTTCTTTCTAAAATAAATAAAGTCGATACAAACATTTTGCTAGGCTTCAATACTGGAACGGTGGTAGGTCTGTAGATCGATACGGGACAAATTGGATCTTGAAGATTTTGATGCGTACAGCAAGACCCGGATAGTTCCTCCGGAACTATCGGATCCTGCGTTTTTAAGCCCAAAAACGTACTATTTTCGAGATAACGCAAGGCATAGGGTTCGCATCCACACAACCTTACATTAATTGTAGTACTGTCATTGAATACATGTCTCATTTCGTCGACTTGAGGTCTCTATGATCGAGAGAGGAGGAGTTTATATTATTTATCGATGGTGTTTTTGATCGGCAAGCCATATCATCGTTAATTCTTCACCAAATCTCAAGATTGAGCCACCAATTTCGAAGGTTTCCTTCTCCTTCAGGCAGGCAAAATAGTCCAATCACCCCGAAAATTCAGGCAAACAAGTTATGAAAGAAAACAAAATTTATTTGCGAATAACTAAAAAATTACACACTTTTCCCTTGGTTATTTCAATGGTCATATAAAACATTACTAAATTGTCTACAAAAGGGGAAAAAATCATGGAAATCGGACTATTATTAACAAAGATACAGCTTACTGAAATTTGTGAATATGTTGGTTCCAAACAAAAATGAAGATTTTAATTAATTTTTGTTTTCTTTGTCGATTATATTTATCGATAAAGTAACATTTGATTTCTTTATCTTTTGATACCTTGTATTATTTTATTTTCTTATTAAGTTGGCATTTGATAACAATATGCTGTGCGAATTTTTCGCACGGGCCTACTAGTATATTATTAATAATATTGTTAACCTTAACAATAATAGTTATTAAAAGAATATTTTTTTAAACCGTTGTATAAAAGGCTAATGAGATGTATTTTTACATCATCCCAGATAATAATACTATTGGTTTTACAAATTTCTTTTTAAATCAATTCCTTATCATAAAAAAGTTTCTAAAACTGGGATTTAATGGATTGGGAAGACTTGAACTGGAAGGTTATGGGAAGTCGTTATCCCGACGAGGGGCAGATAAAGGAGGCGGTGGCTGGGACTGCACTGTGGATTGATGAGGACTATCCCCGATGCTTTTAGTGCCCCTCGCCGCTCCACAACCTCGGCAAAAAATTTAATCAGCCCAGAGTAATTTATTTACGGCCGTTTGATTGCCCTCTCCCGATTAAAAATTAATGGCTTTTCTTCGATTTTATACACTTTTTTTTATATTAGCCTACCATTAAAATAAATGGTAGCTGGATTTTTTTTTACGTGTAATTTTTTTTTTACATCTATCAAAAATAATAATGACAATGAGTGAATGAGAACTGCGTTACAAAATTTAATGGCATGAATAGTATGAGGGAGAACAGCATCCAGCGGCACCTCCTCCTGGCATGAAATCTACATTCATTGTTAGGCGAGTTACCTAGGACTCAACCTGGACAAACGTCTAACTTGGAATCCTCATACCAGACTGAAACGACAAGAAACAGCTCGACGTTTCCGACTACTTCAGCACTTACTAGACAAACGCTCTAACCCTCCAATTAATTACAAAAGAATCATTTACATGACTATGATAAGACCTATTTGGACTTACAGAGTTGAGCTGTGAGGCTCCACCAAACATTCAAATTTCTCTCGTATCCAATCCTTACAATCCAAAATCCTTCGTAAAAACCCCAATTGTTACAAATAATATCATCCACAATGACCTTAATGTTCCTTATATATGAGATTTTGCCCAATCCAGATATCTATCCTTCCATAATAAACTTCATAGCCATCCCAACCCTCTTGTTTCTAACCTTGCTTCCTATTCAATTCCTGATAACCCTCCGAGGCGTCTGAAAAGAAGATGGCCACGTGATCTCCTAGACATATTATTAGAGTGTTACCAATGGGTAGTTTCTCAACATGTGTTTCATGTCATTATATTCATGTGCGAATTTACTAGATGTATTTTTTTTTATACAGTTGTAAATATCATATAAATAAAAAAAAATAAAAAATTGTTAGGCGAGGAGGTCCTTTATCCAGCTCCTCTTCAGCATTCTACGGACAATATCTGCCATTCTTGTTGTGGCCATGTCATTTATGAGTATGTTTTCCTTGTAATTTGTCATAAAATCGTTTGTAATGGATTCGTTATAGTTGGCATGTGAAGGTCAGTGTGTAAGGTTATGTTGCTAACGTACCAACCTGCTTTCGTAATTGGCATCAATGTTTTTGCTTGAAAGATTTAAAGTTTGTTAATGTAAGTCTTTTTAGCAGTTCCAAATATCTGTTATACTTAACTACAAATAGGTTTTAGTAGGTATGTATAAGTATTCATTTTCTGTCAGAGTTTTAGTTTTGAGTATTTCTAGAGAAGTATATTATGAGTCTTTGATTCAGTGTTTTTCTTTTTTTTGATGATTTGAGGGCCCCATGCCATTTTTCGGTCCAATGCCAGTCCAAGATAGTGAACAGTATCTTTTTGTGGAATCTGTGTGTTATAAAAGAAAGGAGGGCATGTATCTTGTGGAAGAGTAAATCATTTTTTTTTTTTATTTAGTCAGATTTTCTTTTTTCTTTTATTCAGAGAGTTAAAACCAACCATGTAATTTAGTTAAATACTGTTGTAGTGTCTGTGAGGCGTATGATTTTTTAAATTTACTATTTATTAAAACTCGTTGGCTCCTAACTTTCTCTCTCATTTTTCCTTACTTCAATTATGGCTGTCTTGTATGAAGTGAACTATTTATTTTTTCGATTTATCCCTACCTTGTAATTTATAGTATAAAATAGGGAAGAGATTGTTCGATGGGTAGTACAACCTAACCTATTCTAACATAACTTTCTATGGAAAGACAGTGGTTCATGCCGTGGGTCTTTCCAGAAATTAATTTTTACCCGCCAAGACCGGATTCGAACTAGCGTTAGACTAGAAAAGGTTTACGCTTTAATATCCTCGAATATTACAATCTTTGAATACGATGGGTATAACATTAGATTGAAGATACTAGTGAATGGTTACATTAGATTCATCTTTGGAGTCACCAGACACTCCCACGTCTAGTTGGTATGCCGAGTTGAATTGGCTTTATTAAGTTTTTCGAAGGCAATACTTCCTAGATGTATTCCTTTTCCGAACTTTTACAACCAAAAAATCTTCTTACCTTCTTAATTTATTCACTTCTTGTTCCTGTGTCCATCCTAGCATACAAACGACTGTATTCTTTCTTATAGAACTGTTTCATTTGAAATTTTTTTTATAGTGGGTACCTTTATTTATTAAGTAGTTATATTATTAAATTTCGTAAACGCTTATATTAAATGAATAAAAAGTCATATTCATCAATCGAATAATTGTTTCTATTTGTAATTTTTTAAAGTCATTTATTTATATTAGTGTTGTAAAATAATTTATTTTTGTAATGCCAACAAAATATTTCATTCCGCTGAGTTACAGAAACATTTATGCTATCTTATAAAACATTTCATTATTGATGTTAAATAATATTTAATGAATATTATGATATTTTAAATATTTAATTTAAAAATAAATATCACTATTATTGATTTTTAAAATAAGGAAATAGCTTATTTTTTATAGTTATATCATTACCATAATTAATTAATTACAAGATAAAACTAATTTAATATGATCATGGATTATATATATATATATATAAAATCATGTAATATAATAAATCATGTGTGAATCTGTGAAGTTTTGTTTTAAAAATAAGGGCTAAATATTAATTAATATTGAAAACCGAAACCGGAATAAAACTGTATAGTAGCGCTGGGAACTAGTAGGGAACCAGTTGGCTGAGCTAGGCATTGAAATCTCCAAGGCCTGCTGGATATTAAGGTTACAACATTAAATGAAATCTGTATTGAGTTGTAATTCAATTAATAAATTTCGATAAATAATTATTTCTGTTTTAAATTATTCATTTTATAAAGTATAATGTTTCATTTGTCACTTCATACTTCGGGGTTTTCATTAATGCTTTTTATTTACAGGCTAACTGCGACATTATAGGCATATATTTTTTGGAAAAAATCAGACTAAAAATTATTAATTTGGGATTTATTAATCAATTTTGGTCTGTTGAATACGAAAATAATATTTCAGTTGAATCGACTCTACTTTTTTACATAATGGGAATCCATTTATAATAGAAATTAAATTATAAAAAAAGAAGAAAATAATTTTTAAAACGTTTATTTTAAAATTATCAAATGATTTCCAACAAAGTGCTTTAAACGATACAAAGTATAATAAAATTAATAATAAAAAAAATATCAATAAGAGTTAAGAATAACGTTTTGTATGGGATTTTCTTTGGTGTTTTTGGTCCGAACAGTCTCTCTGCAAGTTCAAGCTGTAGTCGGCCATCATATGGCGATCCCAACGGCCTTCATGCCTTTCCTCCATAATCTCGATGTCCTGCTGGAACAGTTCTCCTTGTTCTTCGCAATAATCACCCAGGTTGTCAGGAAATTAATCTAAATGACTGTGCAAATAATGTAATTAGACACTAATAATAGCTCCTAGTTTTGGATAATAATGGAACATTTTATCTACTATTTCAGAATATTCTTCAGTTTTGTGATTGCCTAAAAAATGTTTGCCAAAAAAACTTTTTCATAGTTTAAATTTAACTTAAGGCATGTGGTTTGTGAAATCATCATTGTCTGTAAAAGTAAGGATTTGCGACACATCAAAAATTTCTGCTTTTAACTTTTCTATATCATGACCAGGAAATGATTGCCGAATATATTTGAAGCAATCCCTATTCCTATGTACAGCTTTAACAGCTTTAAGCGCAAGTTTAATATGTAGTAGCAGAAAGAATAATTTTTTCTCTACTAATTAACAGTTTATGAATTATGTTAACTTTTTTTTTAAATGAAATATTTCGAGAACAATAATGACTAGCATTTAAAAATTAGTTCTCATTTGGTTTCAAAATACATCCATCCACAGCAATTGTAATAAATAATGATGATTGATTAAATTCCAACTAATTAAAAGTTATCAATATGATTGCTGATGATACGATTTTTCTCAAGAAATTATTGAATATTAGGATTTTTTCCTGTAACCGCTGATCTAAGCCTATCAAGTGTTTTTATTTGTTATAGTAATTTATTGCATCAGTAATAATAATAACAGTAACAGAATATTTTTATAATGTATAGAAACGATAATTTAACTAATCGGTTTGTTTCACTTTATTAAATATTTTATTTAATCTAAGAAAGGTAAACCAAATATTTTACTCGTGGGATACACTAAACTGACGCTTTTACAACTAAATTTGTAACCCAATAGACAACTAACATAAAATGCATGACCACATATTAATATTGTAACACTATTCGGACTCGTGCATTCGTAAAAGTCTTCCCTCGGGCCCAAGTCATAAATTTTACCATGTCAGACCCGGCAGTATTATTTTTACATACATTTTTTTCTGTCAGTTCTGCGTTAAGTTAGTTGCTATTTTTTAAGATAATATTATTTTTACTTATCATATTCATCCATCGGATTGAGGTTTGGTTTAAGAGTTTTGAGAAATTTCTTAAATACATCTCCTGCCGTCAGGAGTTTTCTCTTGAAAGTAAAACTTATTTATAAGTTGAGCTGTCTTATTATCCATCGACTTGAGAAAAAATATTGAAAGTGACAGCTAGGGTGTTTGAAAGTTTTCAATATTAAAGTTACGCCCTGGGCGTTAAGAAGTTTTCCTAATCATTTATCAAGTCTAAACTCAAGGGTATTTGATTGATGGGTATGAATTTTGAAGTTTGAAGGGAGCTTTGAGTATTTTATTTTTGACAATATGTTATTTTATTTGCGTTGCTTTCGTTATTGCCTATCGCTGTTGAAAATATCCGAAATCGGTGTATCTCCTTAGAATTTTTAGTTATTGACTCTTGATAATATCTTAAGAAATTTTTTTTTGTACAACATATTTCCAAAAATCATTGATTATTCCAGTTGCAATTTAAAAAAATGAATCTTGAATAAAGTATCTATTGGAAAGAAATAAACATTTGGAATATATAAAAATAAATTTTTGACAAAAAAGAAGGTTCATTTGAATTTGTATCTTATTATCAATAATTGTTATTGTTATCTATTTATTTTATTCTATTAATCATATTATTTAATTATTTTTATCCTTTTTTTATTCTGATTTTTTGGACTAAATATCCAAACAGTATAAAATTAGTATTATTTAGTTAATCAGGCGCTGATAACCTGGATGTTTTTGCGCCTAGACATCCAAACAAACAACAATCATTTGAGTTTGTTTTGAAGAGGAAAAATAGTGCATGATTCGGAGAAGAAAAAGTTATAAAACTGGTAACATAAAATAAATGACTTTTTGTTTACGAAAATTCTATGTAAAAATGATTTTATTCATAGCTACTCAAACAAACGACTTCATTTAAGATAAATTATAACTCTAATCTAAGATTATTGTTAGATATATTACTTTTATTAAGAATTTAAAATAAATAAAAGTTGACTTTTACTATAAATCTGGAATTTTATTACAAAAGAGTTCCTTAGAACTTTTATTTTAAGAATTTTATTTTTTCCTAAAAAGTTTTCACAGAAACAGTTAAAATGGAACTTTTTTCCTAAAAAGTTTCACATAAACTGTTAAAATAGAACTTTTTTCCCCAAAATGTTTCACAGAAACTGTTAAAATGGACTTTGAGAAAAATTGATCAATCTTATGGGGAAGAGGAATTATCATTATTTGTGTTAACATCTGATTGCGTTGTATTTCATAAGACTTGATAGCTCAATGCAAAACCTAATGGCTCTAATACAAAGTAAATTTATTTAATTATAGCTGGAAAAGAAAACTTATCCATCGTCAAAGTTCCTGAATATCATAGGCCATGAAAGAGAATTAGATTTTAACTATTTGAAGTTAACTAAGCCAAAAACTACACTTTTTGTTAGTTAGAACAAACGAAGAAAATGAGATATGTGGATTGATTGAAGATATATAAAATAAGACTTGAAAATGTCCCTAGTAATGGCCAAAATGTTGCCCTACAACTGTTATATTTTAGATAACAACAATAACTGTTAGATGACATTGTTGATACTTATAATAAGCGTGTTCTATCAGAAGACGAAGTAGCATACTTTCAGGGACAATATTATAAGCTGTACAATACTGTTTAGGCTCTTACGCATAAATCTGAGCCCAACCTTACAACCAACCTACCTTATCTTTTTCAAATAATTATCACGCAGCTACACACTGTCAATGATTATAGTTTTAAAATATGTGTCAACAAAACTGTAATCAAACCCTCAAAATGATTGTCCATTGTGTAATAATCATGTAAACGAAGATTTATTTCACGTTTTAGCAGAATATAATAAATCGTAATAAAAAGTCTTTGTCTTTGCTTTTTTGTATGAATGCGTCCAATTAATTTAAGAAAATATACCGTTTTATTCAGTCAGATTGCGAAATTCGCTCATTCTGTATATATGAGGCGTTTTCTTTTTTGTTTATATAGTTTTATTTATTTGTGTGAGTCAATCCTTGATATCCGCTATAAATATTCATTTAGCATAAGTCATTTTATTACTAATGACTGTTGTCACTGTTTATATTTAAGATTTTAACATGAGAGGTAAGGTTTAAATGTATAATGTATTAAAATCTACTCTCTTTCTGTAGAGTTAAGAGACTACCAAAACGATGTAAATAAACAAATAAATAAATAGTGAATGTTATTTTGCTGTTAGCATCGTATTTGTCTTGACTATATCTGGGAAATATAAAGAATATATTTTAGTGTTTTTTTTTTTACACATTCCGCAATAACAGGCTTTGACGCTTAGCCGGCGGCGTCTCAGATCAGTTGAGCGGGAACCTACTGTATCTTTTTCAAATAGGCGTCCTTCGTCCATATTATTAGTATCGGTAGGTGTATATATATATATATATATATATATATATACAATTTTTTATTTTTATTTCGTATATTTAAAATGTGGTTTACCGTTGTAGACTAGATGTGCTAAGTCTGGTCCCTCATGGACTGGCCGACGAGAATGATGATGGCGATGAAGACTACCAAGATGACGAGGATGCAGCATATGGCGACGGCGGCTACCATCGTGTCTGACTCTGACGTGGTGAAGTGTGCTACTGCGGAGGCGGCTGGCGGCCGACTGTGCTCTCCTATCAAATATTGATCCGCCCCGCCCAGCTGAGCGTACGCCTCCCCCCTCCCCCCACCCCATTCACTGATAACCGCGTCTTCTCTATTAGCTCTGCGTAATGGACCGATTCTAGGCATAACCGGCTTTGTATCATGATACATCCGTTATAGTCAGCTTTATTATTAAATAAATTATATATATATATATGATCCAGTAATATATTCAATTCAGGCTAAAATCCAATAAAGAATTTTGGAAGATTTGGAAACGGTCGTCAGGACCAGAAGGCTGAGGTTCTACGGGATGAATAGGGGAAGACTTAACAAGAAAATTGTTGACAAAGTTTGCAGCTATAAAAGTATGGGGGGATATGTAAAACAAATAAAAGAGGAACCAGGCAGGCTAAAAATCACGGATAAAGATTACTTGGATAGAGAGTTTTTTAGAGAAAAACTGAAAGGGGTTGGACTGTAGGTGGGAGGGAGAGAAGAGGGAGAAAATGGACTAAGGAAGAACAAGAGGAACAGTCCAGGAGGATGAGAGAATAATGGAGTAACAGGAAGGCTGAGGGTGTGAAGAGGAAACGGAAATGATCCCGATGATGAAACGGTCCTTGCTGCCCGGTTCTTGTAAAAAATAAAATATATATATATATATAATAAATATAAATATTTTTATTCAAATAAAATTTCAAAAATAATCAATATTGTTTAACACTAATTATAGTCCGACTTAATGCTTTTTATATGATATTGTTTATCAATGCAAATGGATAAAATAATATGTTACTGATTTTATGTCCTTGCGGGACACCTGGTAACATGTAGTTAAACAGTGGTGTCTCGTAAATCCTTGCTTAGATAAACCAATTTCTTTTAAGTAAAAACTTCTTTAGGCGCGTTTTGCATTTTTTTTTTGTGGATAATGAATTAGATAGAGCCGTCAGGCTCGGGGTGTGTAACGCTCATTCGGGTAAAGTCAGCTCGAGTCGACTAATTGAAGTATTTTTGTAGATTCTCTGAAACTAAAAATCGGAACTGCATATTGTAATCGAAGGAAATGTCTTCACGCGACGCCATTTTAGAAAGGCAATAAGAGAAAAAATAATGTCGAAATCCAAATGATAACGATGTTTTCACTTCTATCGTGTGGTATAAAGTGCTGCAGGTCGTTCATTATCCGATCCTCATCCCTATGGAACTCCATCCCTCCCCACGTCCGTCAATCCAAAACCCTTCCTATCTTTAAACCCCGCCTGTTTAATAATTTCTTATCCATCCAGTCCTCATAAAATTGTAAATAGTTACTACTGTAAATATGTATATAAATTATTAGAGCGTACTTCATTATTTTTACTTCATGTTTGTTTTTATTTTATTTTTTTTTATTATTAACTGATTTAAATTAGAAAGTACCTTATAATTTCTTTTCTTGTTTTTTTATTTATTTTGACTATTTAATTAAACTATATTCTTGTTAATATATCTTTGAGGCTCCTTTAGCCCACATTTTTGTCTTTCTGTATTATTCTAAGGGACTCGTCCCAGAATAAATAAAGCATTATTATTATAAAGCACACACTGCAGTTTTTTTTTTAATTTTCTAAAAATCCTTTTAGAATAATAGTAAAACGTCTTCCACGTCATTACTTATTTCTCAAGTCAAATTTAGGAAGTTTTTGACTGATGTTAATAATTTGATTAAAAAAAAAATCGGTCTGTACCTCGGAATAATACTGTTTGAGAATTTACAAGGAAAGCTGTATTTTACGGTTAGTCTTGTTAATGAGAAATTCATCCTTCATCATCATCATCCCGAGCTCTACATACCATTACTAGTTCTTGGCTACTTTTAGAATCATCTCTGTCATGAGCAGCGGTCAACCAGTTTCTGATTCCAAGAATTTTTGGTGTGGAACTAATTCCATCTATCAATCTCAGCTTCGATTCCCAATCTCGATACAGTTCTTTGCCTGCTGCCATGCTAAGCAGCTCCTTTGGAACTGAGGTATCGTCCAACCGTATTTCGTTGCCCACCTATTTCAGTTTTGCTATCCAGGTATATTACCTCATCCGGCACCTTGTATAAGTTGGCTGGTTCGGAATGCATTTTTAAATCAAAGGAAAATACGAAAGGACGGAGATTGGGTCATATCTAGGCATCACCCATCACAGTTCCTTCAAATTTCATCGGATTGAATTACCGGTAGTAGGTGTGATCCTATATGTTGATTCGAGAATAAAGAACTGCTCAAAACTTTACAACCACATCAAACTATTAGTTCGTGGTTCAGACCCCTTTTTGTCGAATTTGACATCAGCCTGAAATTTAGCAAATAGTTTCATCTCATCGTAACCTACAACTATTTTATTTATGAAAAGTCTTGGATTTGGGTTGTTTTCAATCTTAAGGGGGTTAAAATTTGTCTATTTAATTAAGTATTAAAAACTCGTATATACCAATTTGCTTTCTACTTAGATCGTAAGATAATTTGATCACAACATCGAGAATTAAGGTAGCCTTAAAAAATTTTGAGCCGTTTGAGCCATGACCTACAGTCCCAAATTTTCAAAATAACAAGTTAAATAGGGCAAACTGCCCAATAGTTTTGTAGGCCACCTTTTTTTATCGATTTCGTGATCAAATTATCTTATGATCCAAGTGGAAAGCAAATGGGTATATACGAATTTTGATTATCTAATTAAATAGACAAATTTTGCTCATCTCCAGTTTGAAAAAGCTCCAATTCCTAGAAATTAGCCACAAATTATCGAAAATATTTTGTATTATGTTTTCAAATCAGTACGTGGTTCTCAGTTTTTAATAAATATTATCATGGCAGTTCTGGAATACCCGAAGACATTTCTGACAAAACAATTAATCAAAATGTTCCGTTTTTCATGGATTTCCCCTGTCATCCCGCTATCCACTACATAACCATATTTGTGAGGGGAAATGAGGGATGAATCGAAGAGATTTTCGGTTATTTCGAAGAAGGATAAGAGAGAGTAGCCTAAAGTTTCGGAGAGCAGCATAACAACGCCACTAAGTTTGGAGTTAGAGAAGTAATCTACAATTACAGAGAAACTTGGGACATTCTGAATCAAGAGTTTCGAGATCTTTCTCATTTCCCACGAAAATATTTTAAAAAAAATTAAAGTGTTATCAAACATTAGGATAAAAAAACTCGCATCTCGATTAAAAAAAGAGTTTTTCCTCTGGAAAAAAAAACGAGGCTCAAAAATAATTTATTGTTAGAAGTTCTAAATGCAACACATCGTCTCGATAGGTTCAAAGTTTTATTCTAGAATGAATCAACAAGTTCACAAATGGTGTTTTTATATGTATATGTATATGTATGCACGAATATAAGAGTAGATAAAAATGTTATAAACATGCAAATTTATTTATGATTGCCTCAAATTTTCAATAATGGTTATGGTCGAATTTTGACCATTAGGAGAACACTAGTATTAAAAAAGGTGTTTGAAGAATTTAATTGGTGGATCGAGACATAGTCAGGATTTCAATATATTTATTTTGAAAATTTTAATTATTGAGTACTATATTATTTAAATGCAGTTCTTATAAATTATATTATTGTAATAAATAACTAAAAAAAATAACTATTGCAATCCAAGAAATCTTTATCTGGGCTTGAATATAGACCTTCCCTCAGACAGCATAGGTCTATACTTTTAGAGGCCTACTGGGAAGCTGAGTTCGCAATCTGGATCCACTTCTCTTTTCAGTCATCTCTATCCTTTTCCAATCTCCACCATAGTGGTCCAGACTTCATTCGAAAGATGTCACTCCACCTTTTTATCTGTTTTCCTCTACGCGTTTTGTAACAGTAGGGTCAGAGGCCGCATGTGGCCTCTGTGTCGTAGTTGCGGCCTCCAAACGTTTTTGCACTATATTTATTAATCTTGTGCTAGAATTAATTAATATTTAATTATTTAAATAACTATAATAATAATTTATTTATCGATATAATATCATTACTATTGTTTTGATTAATCTCTTTCTTTGATAGTAAAACAATGAATGAATGAAGTGGTAACACTGCACACATTGTATAACTAGTCGTAACCCATATCGCCTCGAATTATTTTTCAATTTCAATTTCAAAATGTGTTAATTTGATATAAGAGAACTATGTAAGACTAATTACATTAATTAAACTTGGTGTTTTCGCTTTTTCTTTAGAAATATATTTCATTGGTTTTGGAAATGATAAAGATGTTTGTTACTAAACGCATATATATATATTTATTGATAATATTTTCATTTTCTTTTTAAATATTTAAATAATAACCTACCTGCAATATACAAAGAATAAAAACCCGCCATTCAAGACTTAACCTATAAATGTTCCTGCTGAAAAAAGGTTTGGAATCTCTGCAATATGGTGTCCAAATTTATTATTATTTGTTAATATGTAAAGTAATTTAATTTGTTTTCTGTTGTCGAGCTATGAACTGCTATTATAAAAAATGTAGGTTCACCAAGTGTGTTGAATTGGTTTTCTCAACCTGTTTTCCTAATATCGCTTATACTTCGAATTCGTTATGCTTAATAAGGGTGAATATCTAGGGTATTATATATAGTCATTCATCTTACTCCATTTGAATGTACCGTTGTCAAAAATGAATACTTTAATGAATCTCAATGGAAATGGACTCCTTTCAGCCAGTTTGGTTCCAGATACGACTCTATTAAAACAATAACATTATTTTAAATAGAAACAGTGCCATTACCTCATTCAATTACGGTCAATCGATATCTTGTAAAGATATCTGCTAACAATATTTGAGACTCTTTGATAGCATAGATGCTTGTTATTCTTCTCTTAAATAATTGGAGGAAAAACTTGTTAAAAATATTAATTGAGCATTGTGTAAGTAAAGGAAGTGACGGAACCTTTTCAATTTATAATAACGCTTTCTTTTAAAGATGGGTCTCTCCGAACGAATTGGCTGAAAGGATTCTTGTCTTATTGAGTTTCATGAAAGTATTACTTTTAAAGGAATGTTCAAGTGGAGTTAGAGGAACGATTATACCCCTAATGTGATGATTTTTGTGGGTGGCATGTGATATATATCTATATTATATATATTTTTTCTCGCTACATTTT